TGGGGGGTGCATTAGGATTGGGGGTGTAGATATTTCCACTGTCCATCTTCGGGAGTTGAGGAAGGGACTGTCCATCATCCCCCAGGATCCCATGATTTTTAGTGGAACCATCAGGTTTAATCTTGATCCTGAGAATCAGAGGAGTGATGAAGAGATCTGGATGGCACTGGAGAGGACAAAGTTGAAGGATAAGGTGAGGGTGATGTCTGGACAGCTGGAGGCTGTCATTGATTCGGGGGGGACTAGTCTCAGTATGGGAGAAAGACAGCTACTTTGTCTTGCTAGAGCTATCCTCCGACGAAATAAGGTTTGTACCAATGATTTGGATTTTATTTTGTATTCGGTGAGAAATAATTGAGGATTTTATTTAGATTTTAATTCTGGACGAAGCAACAGCATCTGTGGATCCCCGGACAGAAGCTATTGTCCAGAAGACTATCCAACAAGAATTTTCAGACTGCACTATTTTGACGATAGCCCACAGACTGCAAACAATTCTATCTTGCGATAGAATTCTTGTCATGGATGCTGGGGCTATTGTAGAAATGGGAACTCCTGACGATCTACTCAACAATTCGAATTCTGTATTTTCAAATATGTTGGCAACTGCCCAAAAACGTTACCAATGAGATTATTATTATTCTTTTTTTTAAATATACTGGCGTCGCCGTGGTCGCTGAAGCGACCGGGACGTTGAAGAAATTCTCCTTTTCAAATGCATTTGCGAATGTTTTGTGAGAATGATAATTTATGTTTTGATAGTTTTTCATTAATTACATCTTCATATGAATGCTCATGGTGTGTTGTTTTATGTAATGGCGATGCATGCCAAAAAAAACACTTACCCCGTCAACTGGTCCCTCTGCCAGACTGCTACTGAGGTCGTGGAGGGCGCCACACGCAATACTTTTGAATGCTTTTTGTTTTTTATTTGTTTAACTGACATTTGGTCGACTGTAGAACATTTTGTGGAATTTCAAATGAAAAAAAATATTCAATATACTGAAGATATACCCCTAATGAAATTAAATCATTAATATGAACGCGTTGTTTAATCGGCAACGCGCTTGACTGGCATGCGGACCGCTTGGGTTCGATACCAGCATTATTCATTTTTTTTTTCAAAAAAAATCCAAATTTTCTTTTTTTATAAATGGCTAATTAATGGAAATATTATTTAAAAACCGAATTTTTGAAAATCGAAAAGATATTCAGTGAAATTGACAAATTAACAATTTTTTAAAACGAAACTTTTGCAAAATATATACTCCTAATAAAATTAAAATATTGTAATAATGCGTTATCCTAGCGGTAACGTGCTCGGCTAGCACGCCGACGGCCCGGGTTCGATCCCGCCGTCATTCATTTTTTTTTTTTAATAATTCCAATTTTTTCTTTTGTAAATGGCTAAATAATCGAAATATTGGTTAAAAACTGAATAGCTCTTCGATTTTCATGTTCCCCTGATACTTCTTCGAAAATTTCGAATTTTTCATTTTCAGTGAAAATTTCGAATTTTTCGCTTTCAGTGAAAATTTCAGTGAATAACTCCTCGATTGTCATGTTCCCCTGATACTTGTTCGAAAATTTCGAATTTTTCACTTTCAGTGAAAATTTCAGTGAATAGCTCCTCGATTGTCATGTTCCCCTGATACTTCTTCTAAAATTTCGAATTTTTCACTTTCAGTGAAAATTTCAGTGAATAGCTCCTCGATTGTCATGTTCTCCTGATACTTTTACAAAAATTTCGAATTTTTCACTTTCAGTGAAAATTTCAGTGAAGAGCTCCTCGATTGTCATGTTCCCCTGATACTTTTACAAAAATTT